CCTTATCTTAAATTTAAATTAATATTATTTCTCTTTATTAAATCTCTTCATATCTTGTAACCAATGTTCTTTTTCAGCTTATTATTTGTAGGCATATTGGAGTACATTTTAAATGGTAATTTTTCGAAGGCTTTCAAAATGATTGTGTTTGATAACACATGTTTACAATTTTATTTTAAAAAAACTAGTAAAGTTAGTTCATAACCACAATATAAAAGGAGCTTATAATTGTTAAAAACCAATTTTTAGAAATCTTTTTAAAGTATCATTCACCTTATATTTTGACTACTAATAATTTTATCTTATTAATTTTGTTATTATATTAATATAATATAATACATTTTAGCATTTTTATTAAAAACCTTTAATTCAATTAGCTATTTATAAACTACATGCTTTCAATTATTTTGTCTGCTAAAAGTTCTAATCTTTCATCTAATTTCATCAAATAAACCATATATAAGTAAATACTTTTTTATTAAATTCAGATCATATAATTAAAAAAGTATTTTTTTTATTCAGACCATTAGAGATTGATATAGTTATGATGATTTTTCAAAGTTTTGCTGTAAAAAATAGTTTATAAGTCTTCTAGTCCTGTTAAATTATTTTCTTTCATCAAACATAAAAAACAAATTAAATGGTGATTGGCTTTTCAAATCCACAAGAAAGTGAAAAAAGGGAAGATGCTGGCATGTTCAAATTAAAATTTAAAAGAAAAGAAATTGAAGCGTGATTGGCGTCACTTGGTTTTATGTCAAGTCAAAATAAACCTAAACTGAACCAACTTAAGCAATAAAAATTCACATAATCTTCTGGTTTGTGAGTGACGCACTTAATATTTTTTTCACCCGCAATGAAGCAGCACCTCATAATTTTTGAGTTAAAAAGCCCAACTGTAAATAAAAACACTTTATATACAAAATTTATTTTAAAATGTGATATTACAATAACTATTTTTCAATCCACTTTCATATTTACGATTTTATTTTTTATATATATTATTGTTTATAAATTTTTTTTGTTATCATTATTTTGAAATTTAATTGATGAATACGATAAATTTATCAATAAATATGGTGAGGGAGAATATAATAAAACTCATTGACAGTTTAGAAAATAAAATATTTATTTTATTTTAAAATAAACATATATAAAACTATTTTTCAACCCATTTTTATATTTATGATTTTATTTTTCATATATATATATAGGAGAGGCTAAAAGCTCAATCAAGAAACACAACTAGCAGTTAATAGTCCAAATAAAAGTAAAGAAAGAGAGAACTATCTAAACAAATATAGGGAGCTTAACTTTCAGTCCCAAACTTAACAAGTCACTCATCATATTGATTGACTTCTTTATAAGTATAGTTAAATCTAACAAATTTAATATGTTTAAGTAAAGATCTAATGTCAGAAAGAAGGGAAGCCAAGGAGTTGAAACACAATTGAATATTTAAGACAAGAGATAGAACTTACTTGGAGTCCCCTTCAATCCAAATATATTAAAATTGCTTATGGATGACTAGCTTGATTTTCCAAAAAAAATGTCCATTACTCAGCAACCAGAGGAACACAAGGAGGAATGCTTTCGTAGAATCTAGCAATGAAGTTCCCCTTGTAATCTCTTATGAGGCCACTATATCTAGCAGATCTCTTATCATAGGGGATTGAGCCATCCACATTGAGTTCAAAATGTCCATAGCTAGGAGAAACCCATTTTATCTAAATATGTTGATCAACAAAACCAGAAACAAGTTTAGTATTCTTCCTATAAAAGCAATTAAAGTAATCAAAATCCCATATCATTTTTTGAACCAACTAATTAGGAAAGATGGAAAATAAAAGTATTTTTATCTCTCCATAAGTACCAAATCACAAAACCAAACAAACTATTCCACTCAGAAAATTTACTAGGATAATGTTTGAAAAGGTTGCTATAATCCAATTATAAATACTACTGCTAAAGAACATATATCAGTTATTACAAAAAATAAAATGCTTCCACACTTGTCTAACATAGAAACAATCACGAAAGACATGAATAATAAATTTAGTATCCTCCCCACACCTAGGCATTACACCAGAAAGAGATATGAGAGCAGTTTTATTTTAAATTAGATAGTATTTAGAATTACTCTAAAATCTCGTGCTATCTAATGTGTTATATTTAAGAGAGCGATTAAACAACTGCTCTCAAATGTTAAGATTGGAGAGCCGTTCCATATGAAACCGTTCTCCAAAGTATAGGTGTTAAGATTGGAGAGTGGTCCCACAACTACATGAACCAAACACAAGTAAGCAGAGAAAAGAAAAATAAATTAGTAGGATGCGTTAATAAAAAAAAAAAAGGAAAGAGAGAATGAATGATTCACTGATAATAAAAAAAAAGAATGGAGAGAACTGTAAAAAAGGTAAAGACTTTGTTAGCAACTTACAAAACTTACAGAAGTAAAATAGACTAACTTTGTTAGCAAGATGAAGAGATTCATGAGTTGAGTGTGCTTCATTTATAAAAGTTAAAGACTTTGGAGAGCGATTCTCTATTAACCGCTCTTTAAGAGTAATTTTAGAGAGTTGTTCTTTATTTAGAAGTATAAATCTGAGAACGATTCAATACTAATATCTCTCTAAATGTATTATTACAAAACAATTTCTACTAACTGCTATCTAAGTTAGTGTTCCAAAAGCTTATTTCTGACGTAGTGAGGGCAGGTAGGAAAGGTTGTCATCCCCCTATCAAATCTTTCTAAATTAGTCAGTAGCCTACTATGGTCAATTTTCCATAAAAACATATTGATTTTAAGGAGCTTTCCATTTCCAAATCAACTTAAAAGAATAAGTGAAAGGTGCAGGTTCCAAGAGAGCCTCAGATAAGAGAAAATAAGCAAATTTTATAGAAATTTTTTTATTATTAGTTAAGTTCCAAAAAAAATAGATCCTAATCTCTAGAAGTAGAAAGAAAATTCATATTATTAATTAAGTTACACAATTGAATAGGAAGAGAAGTTTTAACATTAAAAAGGGTCACAAATTTGTCTAAATCAGATTCAGATACAGGGAAGATGAATAATTAAAAAGAGAATCATGGTTAGAGATCCATATATCAATACAAAATTTTATAGTTGAACCATCTCCTTAAATTTATCCTAAACCTATTTTTCATATATCTATATATATATATATTATTGTTTATAAATTTTGTTGTCATTATTTTGAAATTTAATTAATGAATATGATAAATTTATCAATAAATAGTGAAGAAGAATGTAATAAAATTTGTTGGGAGATTAGAAAATGAAACATTATATATATATATATATATATATATATCTAATTTAATAATTAAACATTAAAATTTTATAAACATGAAATATTATAATATAATATAAAGATAAAAAGACATAAAAATTAATAAATTTTATTTATAAAATTAATCAAATATAACACGTTAATAAAAATTAGATCAATGATGTATAACTCAATAAAAGAATAAAAGTATAATTTATATATATTATGTTTTAAAAAATATATATGTTAAAAAGTATACACATTTTATATGTTTAATAATGTAATAGTATGAGAAGAATAAAAAATAATTTAATGTTAAAATAAATTATTATAATTAACTAAAAAAATCATAAAATATAATATTTGCAATTGTATAACTTTTGAGAAATAAATAAATAAATAAAATAATAAACTCTACATATGATTTTATTTATTATATTTACTAAAATTTATATTTTTTATTATTATGATTTTGTGTAGTATTTGTCTAATTTTAATGTTCAACATTTATATTTTAAACAAGTGAGCATACTTTTTTGAAAAAAAAAAGCTATTTTTATAAATTTTTATTTTTAACCAAAAAGTCATCTTTATATAAATAAAATACATTTTATTACTATTTTATTTTAATTTTTAACATAAAAATATTTATTAACTAAAAAATTAATAAATTTTTTTTCAAAAAATATAAAAAAACTATAAGCAATTAACGAATCAAATTTGAATTTTAAAATTATTAATCAAATCAAACTCAAATTAAATAATTTAAATAAAATTTAAACATTTTTTCAATTTCACCAATCAATCTTGAACTCTAAATACTTAACTGATTTACGCCTTACCTAATCTATAAATAACTTCTTAAAATACAAATATGGAAACGATTAAAATAATGGTCTACCCGATCTTGACCCCATTGTGACTCCAAATTTTGGAATCGCGTGGGCCACGAAGCGGGGCTTATCACTACACCACAATGGGCCACACATCCCAACTTCATTGGGTACTCGCGCAGCCACGCTCCTACCTTTTAATTCCTTTCCAGACCTAAATAATCACTTCCTTTCCTTTTTATTTTTTTTATTTTTTTATTATTATTATAAATATTTTATTTTTAATCTGAACTTTGGCTTTGGCTTTCCTTCAACTAAAGCAAAAAGAAAAGAATATCCGCATTTATGGGAATAGTCCGAATTGACCGTCATTGCTTGTTATGCACTTAACAAACACACCAACTTGGTTCCCACTTTTATTTTTATTTCACCAGTACTATTAATTGACCAACATTTTTAAGATATTAATTAAGTAAATAAGCATAAAAAATACCTACTCAAAATATGACCTTATTAAAAATATATTAAATTAAATACTTATTAACTGCTATTTGTCTCTTTGTAGTGAGATAACTTAAAAAAATTTAACCAACCAAAGATAAAAAAATGTTAATTTTAATACTTATGAGTAAATTAGACATCTAAAAATTATAAATTTTAATATAATAAATAAATTTTTAATAAAATTTAATAATTTTATATTCTTAAACTCAATTTAAGTACCGAAGTTAACTAAATCTGAAAATTAAATACTTGTTAACTACTGTCAACAACCTTATTATTACGTCATTAGGAAAAAGATAGTGTTAACGCGTGGTACTGGTCTCCGAATTCCGCCTATAAATACACCTCAAAATCACAGCCCAGAGTTTTCAAGCCCTAACCCTCTAACGCCGGAGGAGCCCGAGTTCCTTCCTATCTCTTCTGTTCTCCCTTTCTAGAATCTTCTAAACCTTCTTTTATTTCCACACAACTCACTCAACTCACTGAGTAGCGGGAACGAGTCATGGAATCCAAACCGTGTCATACTATAAAGCTCCTCTGTAGCTACGGCGGCAAGATCCTTCCCCGTGCCACCGACGGCGAACTCCGCTACGTCGGCGGCCACACAAGAGTTCTCACCGTCGATCGTTCCATTTCGTTTTCAGGTTTTTTCCTTAGCCTTTGTTTCCGTATATTTTTATTTGTTTTTATCTTCCTATGTTTTGTTCGTTAATCGATTTGTTGCGTTGTTGTGCAGAATTGATGGTGAAGCTTGGAGAGTTGTGTGGTTCGTCTGTGACATTGAGGTGTCAATTGCCCAAGGGAGACTTGGAGACCTTGATCTCCGTCACCAACGACGAAGATTTGGCGAACATAATCGAGGAATACGATCGTGCCTCATTGAAATTGGCTCATCCGTTGAAGATCAGAGCCGTTCTTTCGCCGCCGAAGTCTCTTAACAAAATTTCTTCTGCTACATCGTCGTCTTCGTCCAGCGCCAGTCACTCTCCGTCCAGATCGCCTCACACTTCAGCTGAATCATTGCCGTACGCCGCGGCGTATCGCCTCGTCCGTCGCAATAGAACGCCGCCGGCAACAATTGCATGTCCGATCGGCGTCCGTAACGGCTCGGCGAAAACTTGTTGCTACACAGGCCAGTTCGACGGAAGCCCTAGGTTCCTGTATTATGGACCTCACTGCAATAATTACTGTCACTGAGGAGAACAAATAAAATATACACAGTAAATATAAGGAACAAAAAAACGCGAATACGAAGCCGATTCAGTATATGATGACGAAAAATATGAAAGGACACAAAAAAAAAATAAAAAGTAGAGAGATAAGTGGATTATGAAATACGATGGTTCTTTAATTTTGATGAATTTTAGATGTGGTTGAGTTGAGGTTCTAATTTTGAATTGAGCCTGATTTTCTTGTTGGACATGGTGGTTGCCTTTGCCTGGGACTCTCTTTTTTAACAGTTAGGGTTCCGTTAACCGTCGTACGAGATGTCGACATAATTTCCGTGACGTGTCCTATGCGTGCCGCTTTTGGTGGGTTTGATTCCGTTAACTCAAGTCAGACGTCGTTTCTTGTGTTAACTGTGGACTTGCGTTCGTCACTTGATTATATGATTATTGGGTTGGTACGTATGTTTTCCTTAAATTTTTTTAATGAAATTATTATAATTGATTTTCATTATTATCGTACTAATCTTTTTGTATAAATTGGTGGTCTATTATTTTTTTCAATTTGCAGGTCAATAAAAGGGGACCGAGACATTATTTTGGAATTGGTGGAGTAGGGATTCTCTGAAGCCAGAGAGAAGAAAAAAACCCTCTTATCATTTTTTTTTTAAATTAAAAAATTAAAAATATAAAAAAGATAAAGATAAATCATTTATGACAGTGCAGGAAACCGGATCCCATTTTATAGTAATGTGTGGCTTGTGGGACTCGGGGAAGAGGACAAAACGTCTGAACCTTCGTGATATTGGGCTACAGGTTAAGTGGATTAAGGAAATTGAATATATTATGGAAGACACGTGGCATGAATGATTGAATGTGGAGACCAGCTCAGAAGGGAGACAATATAACTATACTTAAAATTAAATAAAAAATATATAATTTTCAAATAATTCTCCTTAAAAGAAAAATTCAATAATGAAGAGTATTAAAAATAAATGTAATAATGAAATTAAGGACCGAAACAGAGAACCGCGGGTGGAGTAGTCGGCAAGTTGTTTAGTTGACAATGACATTATTGAGGCATATTTTTGGTGGCTTCTGCCTTCTGGTCGGTTCAACAGCTTACCTTTATCTTGTTGGATAGAGTCGAGGAATACTTGAAAAATACACAGATGTTTGGAAGAAAGAATCAACCCCACCACTGGAATGGAAGAGAAGATCCCAATTTAACCATAAAAAAGGGGGAAACACACATGGAGAACAAAATAAAATCAATCCTGGCCCAATAATCCACGAGGGTCGTGAATATTGAATTTGGGCTCAGAGAAATTTGGCAGAGGTAATCAAATTAACTGTATATATCATTATTTTTCATGACCATATATATATATATATAACTAAAATTATAAGGTGCTTCTACATTTTTCTAGTGTAGTATTAATTTAAGTTTGAAACCGAATGGATTCTGGCTACAGAATTATACATAATGTTATATTAAAACTGTTAAGGTGATAATGAATATTATTAAATTTGGCTTATGACTAATTCAATAGAAATACTAAATGATTTTTCTAATAATATATTTAAAGATATACAATAAAAAGTTATGTAAAGTAAATGTTTATTAAAAATCAAATGATTTAATACATTGATAATATTATAATTTTTAAAAAACTATTATTCATTAATTTTTTATTGTGTAAAAAATATTAAATTACAAATAGTTAGACATAGCAGTCTTGATTGATACGAAAATAAAAAAAAACTTCTGATAAAGGATATAACAAAAAGAAATAGTTTAGTTATGAATGCAAACTTAGGTCAAGTGGAATGAACATGATAAGTTAATCTTACGGCTGTTGCTTTGAAGTTGGGGATATTCTTTGTGTGGAAGGGAACACTCCAAAAAAACATGGAATATCAAGTCTTTAGGACGAAAGAAAGAACGTATCTTCTAAGAAACTCCAATTGCTTGATGTTAAAATTTGCAAATGCGTGTTCTCTCAAAAGTGTTGATAATTCTCTTAGACAATAATGACATGTTTTCTGGAACACAACACGAATGGAATCAAATTTGGCTGAAATTGAATTCCTTTTAGTTTATAATATTGTTAAGTCATTTTCTAGAATGCACTGCACATTGGCTTGAATTTTTATTAGTTTTGCCTTCAAATTTATCGACTCACTTACTTTTTTAAGTTGGTGTTAGTTTTAGTAAAAGAAAAAGAATATGTTTATTAATTATTTAGTTAAGTACAATGTGATCTCTGTAGTTATATAGAAATGGAATAATATTTTTCAATAGTGTTTTGGACGAGAGAGAAGTCTTAAATTCTATTATGTTGAGGTCCTTGAAATGACTATCATTTATTAGTAAGGGATAAGTTATTCTGTTAGCTCATTGATATCTAAATCCACAAAATTGTATCTGTCTTAACTTTATATAAATATATTTTTGCTTTTTATTTTTTTGAGTAAGTATTAGTTTTTTTTTTTTTTTTTTGTATATGAGTTTTGAGTTTCCTTTAAATTCTCTCTAATAATATATGTTTTGTCTATAAAAAAATAAATTATTTTTGTTCTATTAAAATTTTAAATTAAGATAATGCTTGTTTTTATGTAAAGTAAAATAAAGACCACAAACTCAAGCAAGGTTTTATGGCAAGGTTATATTTATCCATTAAAGATTTATCTTTAAATTAAACTCTTTTATTTCTAATTTTTTTTTTACTTTGAAGAAGCAGAATCCTGATAGAGTCAAATTTTTTAACGACACATGAATTAAAATTTCATATTAAAGATATAAAAAGTTTAAATAATAAAAAAATTTAAAATAAAAGATTGACTTTCTCACGTTACAGTGTTTGATAATAATTAACATTGTGTATAAAAGTAGAATAAAAATTGTTTGACACGTGAGAATGATAAATTAAATGTACATCATATTTTAAATAAGGTGATTTTAACAAAACTTGAGCAACTTATTTGTTTTATAATAAATTATTATTCTATCATTTTATTTATAAGATTTTATTTGTTTTTGTAATTATATTTGTTAATTCTTAAAATATCTTTTTTATTAGTATTGCTAAATGGTCCTTTGATTTTAAATTTAAAAGTTATTATTATCTTGTAACTTCTTCTTTTTAAATCTAAAAGAAGATTTCAAACTCTATTTTTTTTTCAATGCTACACATTAACGGATCACAATTTGTGGGATTGAATTGGACCCTTTATTTTTTTCCCCTCATGGTTCTTTAGTAGTGAAATGGCAGTGGAAAGACATAAATTTAGTTAATCATTGTGGCAAGGAGAGGAACCTAATGAAAGAATGAAAACTCTTTGGGAGCATAACAGAGAAAGTTCATCATTGCATGTTCTTGACTGTCTTTTTTCAATGCTTCATGTTCTTGTATACTCGTTAATCTTGTCTTGATTTAAAAAACATTGGGTCAACGTTTTTGTGGCATAACACTTGATGAGAGTGGGCAAGGATGGTTAAAGAATGGTTTTGGGAACATAAATTTTTTTAAGGACTTATTTATAATAAAAATAAAATTTTAATTAATTAAACCAATAATATTAATACATGTGGAGAAGCATATGAGATGTCTCTTTAAATATGAGAGTACAAAAATAAGCACTGTGTTTGTAAGCACAAAAAAAAGGGGGAGGGGGAGTTCTCCCAATTTTAAGGTTTAATTACATTTTTGGTCTCCTAATTTTTAATCATGCAATTTTTTTCCCTATTTTATAATTAAGCAAATTTTAATTAATTAAACCAATAATATTAATACATGTGGTGGAGCATATGAGATACTTCTTTAAATATGAGAGCACAAAAACAAGCACCATGTTTGTAAGCACAAAAAAGGGACGGGGAGGGGGAGTTCTCCTAATTTTAATGTTTAATTACATTTTTGGTCTCCCAATTTTCATATTTATTCAATATTAGTCTCCTAATTTTTAATTATACAATTTTAGTTCCCCTATTTTATAATTAAGCAAATTTCGTCATTTTGTTAAGTTGTCATCCAATTTTCAAAGACAACTATACAAATTATCTTCTTCCTTCCTTCCCTTAGCCCAAATCTGCAACAATTGTTGATACAAAACTTTTCCTCCTCCTCTCCCCTTACTTGAACTCCATCATTATGGACAAAGCTTTTCTTCCTCCTTTCCTTTAACTAAACTCCTCTACTTCTCTCTCTATCACTGTCAACAACCACTGCTATATTTACTGAATCTTTGACATCTTTTGTGTCACACCGTTCTACATTGCACCTCATCGTCCTTAAAGGGATAAAAGAAAAATAGAAGATGGAGATAGGATAGAGATGGAGAGAATCGTGAAAGAATATTGAGTATATTGAATGATAAAAAAGGTATGTGATACAAAGGAGAGGAATGTATATAAAGGGAAATTAGCTTAGTAACAAAAACTAACAGAAGTTAGTTATACAACTGTACAGACTTAAAATACCCAAGTTATCACAATAGATAAGAGGCTTGATCTACAATGGAATTCACTATTCATGCAACAAATTCATTAACCAAGTTAACTCTGCAGTTACAACAGCAAGACTTCTATATTTTGCTTCTGTACTGCTTCGAGAGATAGCATGTTGCTTTCTTGAAGACCAAGATATAGGATTAGTGCTATGAAAAACACAATAACCTGTGGTTGACTTCTTTGTCATATGCCTCTACCCTAATCTGCATCATAAAATGTAGTGACTTAAAATTATGGTGATTTTGTCAAAGTAATTCCATAGGTTGAAGTACCACATAGATATCAAAGATTTCATTTTACTACTTGCGAATGAGGCTCTCTAGGGGTTTGCATAAATTGGCATACTTTATTTACATAATAAGTAATCTTGGGTCTTGTAATTATAATGTACTGGAGGTTGTCGAAAATAAATTTGTACAATGTAAGATTTTCAACTTTAGTGCCTTCTATAGTACTCAGCCACAAATCAGCATACATAGGTGGTTTGACACTTTTGGCATTTAGCATATTGACTTTCTTTAGAAGATCAATGATATATTTTGTCTGAGACAGAATGAGTGAGTCATCATTTTGAGGATTAACTTGAATGCTAAGGAAGTAATTAGGATATCCAAGGTTTTTGATAGGAAATTATGATTGGAGATGCGGAATAAGACTTTCAATAGAATAGGTAGATGACCCACAACTGATAAGATCATCTACATGCACTAGAATATAGGTTATATGATCCTTGTGAAATCTGAAAAATAAAGAGGAATCACTCTTAGTTGATAAAAAACTCAAGTTTAGGTACTGATACAACTTTTCAAATCATGCTCTAGGTGTAACATCCTCATTTTCTTCATTCAAATAAATAAATTTTTTAGGCAAATGGAAAATGAATTTATTTCTATTCATAAACTTAATAGTAAGATAAAGGCAAAATTTGTATTTTCCTCTTATGAAAGTTTAAGAGCATTCCAATTAGAGTCAAAACTTCCAAGGGTAAAACTTTAAAACTTTGGGGTAATTGAATAAAGCTTAACTCTACTTTTAACAAAGCATTTAGTTCATTTCAAATACATATAAATTTAGGATTTTCACTGAGAATATTTTCAAAGTATTCATTCCAACGAAATTGGCCCAAGTATCATAAATTCTAAAATCTGACGTTTAAAATCATTTATAAAATTTAGTCATCACAAGATACAAATTGAATAAAGTAATACATTTTATCAAATGGTCCTAGTCCCTACAGAACAATCTTCCTTCCAATACCCTTGGATTATGATCCCAGGACGAACCAGATATCTTTATTTTGTTCACTTTCATTACCTGAAAATTTTTAGTAAGGGTGTGTATCTCTCGTTCTACTAAATCTCTTGTTAATATAAGCAAAATAA